GCTTGGTGTTGTCAGCACCACGCTCAGCCAGTGAGCGAACCGGCCATCCCTATGTGGGATCCGAACCCGGGGCCTTGGTGTTATCAGCACCGCACTCTCCCGAGTGAGCCACGGGCCGGCCCTATTTTTACATTTTTTAAAGATGACCGGTAAGGGGATCTTAACCTTCGGCTTGGTGTTGTCAGCACCACGCTCAGCCAGTGAGCGGGAACCGGCCTCCACATGGGATCCGAACCCTCGGCGGGAGCGCCGCCGCGCTCCCAAGCGGCGCACTCTCCAGTGCGCCATCGGGCCGGCCCGAATATTTTTTTAAAAAATCCATTACTGAGGGCTGGCCTGTGGCTCACTGGGGAGAGTGCAGTGCTGATAACACCAAGGCCATGGGTTCGGATCCCACATAGGGATGGCCGGTTCGCTCACTGGCTGAGCGTGGTGCTGACAACACCAAGCCGAAGGTTAAGATCCCCTTACCGGTCATCTTTAAAAAATGTAAAAATAGGGCCGGCCCGTGGCTCACTCGGGAGAGTGCGGTGCTGATAACACCAAGGCCCCGGGTTCGGATCCCACATAGGGATGGCCGGTTCGCTCACTGGCTGAGCGTGGCGCTTACAACACCAAGTCAAGGGTTAAGATCCCCTTACCGGTCATCTTTTCAAAAAAAAAAAAAAAAAATACATCCTGAGCATCCTTTTGTGTTTAAGTGGGAAAATGGGTTTACAAAATGTTATGCACAGTATGATTCCATTTTTGCAAAAAATAAAAAAAAATGTGGGGGAAGATGGATAAAACAGAGGTGGGACAAATCAAATGCCTGGAGAATGAGATTACGAGGTGATTTTTATTCTATCTCCACTTTTTTGTTTAACCAGATTTTTCTAAATTTTGGACATAGATTTCTTTTATAAAGATAAACAAGTTAGGGGCCGGCCTGTGGCTCACTCGGTAGAGTGCGGTGCTGATAACACCAAGGCCACGGGTTCGGATCCCATATAGGGATGGCCGGTTCGCTCACTGGCTGAGCGTGGTGCTGACAACACCAAGTCGAGGGTTAAGATCCCCTTACCGGTCATCTTTTAAAAAAAAAAAAAAAAGATAAACATTGTTAGTCCTTATTTCAGGTTTATA